TCACTTGCTGAAGACAAAACTGAAGGGAAAATGCCCCAAGAAGAAGCAGGAACTGAAGACAGTTGCAGTAGAGGCCTGGCAGAGCATCACCGGGGATGAAACCCAGCGTATTCTGTCCCATTACTTTTGGTCCCTTAACAAGTGGGAGGCACATATGCAAACTGTTGTAATTCCTACACCGTATTCTGTCCCATTACTTTTGGTCCCTTAACAAGTGGGAGGCACATATGCAAACTGTTGTAATTCCTACACCGTATTCTGTCCCATTACTTTTGGTCCCTTAACAAGTGGGAGGCACATATGCAAACTGTTGTAATTCCTACACCGTTCACCTGAGTTGGATGTACATACCCTCAAATTAAAGCTGACAGTCTGCAGTTAAAGCACATTGTGTTTGTTTCATTCCAAATCCATTGTGGTGGTGTATAGAGCCAAAGATGTTAGAATTGTGTCAATGTCCCAATATTTCTGGACCTGACTGTATATCTCTAAGTCTAATCTCTGGAAATTCCACAGCACAAATGTGTGACATTCATAAACCTAGGATCCCTTTATATTTGCTTTAGAAATTCAAATCTCAAACCATAACTGCTCTGTTTTTCTCTTCAATCATTCCAAAAAAGTTGTTATGCAATTTTACAACCTTTAAGACTTCCCTGTAAGTTGCAACCACAGAATTGGAATGGGAGAAAGTGGGGTGAGGAGGTCAGGGAATTGCTGAATGCATGGACATGATCTCACAAGAAATTCCTTTGACCAAATGGAGTGATGTTGGGGAGGGCACAGATTATTGTTGGCCAGCTTTTAAAGGTAAAGTCTCCGGGGTTGGGGGGTGGGCTATACAAACTTCCATACGTATGCAGAGCTACTGAGTGGCTCCTGGATAGTATTTATTAAGCTTTTAGAAAATGAAATATGATTTACAGAAATAACAGACTTTAATGGACCTATTTATTTGCTGATTGACTCAGTGTATACTAAGAGCATATCCTTATTTTCTTGTCTCCTTATCAGCGAGCTTTTGATAACCCTGAATGGTTCTACAGGCATGTGGAAGATCACAGTTTCTGTGCAGAGTACAAGGCAGTTGGGAAGGAGAACCACATGGTCTTCTGTGGGTGGAAAGGTAAGGTTTAATCTTGTATTAGAACCTTTGCTGTTTTTTTTTTTAACAACTCAAACTTTTCCTGTTGTTTTGAGTCATAATTAAAGAAGCAAAATGTTTTTGTATAGTACACTATACAGAATTCACACACATAGGCATACATAGACAACATCGCATTTAAAAAAATTACTGAATGTGCATTAATTTTTTATACAGTCTATAAATATGATTTCTGTTATTCACAAATTTTATCAAAACATTTTTTCCCAGTAGGGAGAAAATTTTAATGTTATTTATCTCAGTGCAAAATTAATAAATACATTAAAACATTTCATCTTGTAGCTGTTAGGCAATTTATAAGCCAGTGTTTCTCAAACTTGGCAACTTTAAGATGTGTGGACTTCAACTCCTAGAATTCCTCAGCCAGCATGCAGGCTGGGGAATTCTGGGAGTTGAAGTCCATCCATCTCAAAATTGCTAAGATTGAGAAACACTGTTATAAGGGGAGAACCGTCCTCCTATTTTCACACACATATAAATGAAACAGCTCCCCAAAATCTGTAGAAAAAGCTAGCATAGAATCCCAGAGTTTCTAAGCGGGATTGTCTCTGCCAAGCTTAAAGCAATAAGCCAGAATGTGCCAGACAGGCCTTTGGCTGGTACCTGCTTGGAACAAATAAGCATTGTCTTTCTTTGTTCTAGAGTGTGATTGCACCTTCAAAGGTCGATGTAAGTTGCGTGAACATTTGCGCAGCCACACACAGGAGAAGGTGGTGGCTTGTCCCACTTGTGGTGGGATGTTCTCCAATAACACCAAGTTCTTTGATCACATTCGCCGACAGACAGCTTTAGAACGTGAGTACCTGAGCTGCATCACGCTTAGCCACGAACCATACTGGTTGTCAGGCTTGCTAACCAGCATGAGTTTAGGGCTGCTTAGGATTTGAGTTATAAACCCTAGAAGGGAGTAGATGTCTGGAAGAAGGGGAAATTGTTGTCTAAAGCAGTTGCTGACAAGGGTCCTCTCCAGCTGAGGTGTGTCCTTTTGTCTTCTCCTCTGCTTCACAGAACAGCGATTCCAATGTTCTCACTGCTCCAAAAGGTTTGCCACAGAGAGATTGTTGCGGGACCATATGAGGAACCACGGTAAGGTGTGACGAAGGCTGCTTATTTTTCCTCCTTTGCCCTCCTCTGGCTGAACTTTCCCTTCCCGGGGATGACCTCTTCTCTCGTGTGTGTGTGTGTGTGTTTTCTCGAGCAGTCAACCACTACAAGTGCCCCCTCTGCGACATGACCTGTCCTCTGCCCTCCTCACTACGGAACCACATCCGCTTCCGACACAGCGAGGAGCGGCCTTTCAAGTGCAACTATTGTGACCACAGGTAAGCTGGATCTGCCCCAGGGCAGGCAGGAGCCAGGTGGAAAACGGCACTTGGGCAGGTCTCGTGAAGGAGACGGTTCTACACAGGCAAATCCTGCTGCTGCTGCTTCACTTCTAAAACTGACCAGTTAGCAGCTGCCTTAAGAGTTTAGAAATTGCAGTGACCTGATAGCAGCTGGTGCCCTACATTACATAATTGCCTTTGCTTTATCAAGTCCCTGTTCTGCTGACCAATCAAACATGGAATTGTTGGGGAAACCACCAGTTTAGTTCAAAGGATTTTCGAGTTAAATAGCTATATTCAAGATCTTATTTTTTAGACCCCTTGTGACCTTTTTATCAAGGCCTTGCTCAGGGTGACATATATTACAGTGATAAAATCAATATATATGAAATGAAATATCTTAGCATCTACCTTCCAGTCTGGAAGAGCTAAGCTCATTTGGAAAAAAGATAATCTTAACCAATTCTTGAACCTAAATATCGACACCCTGGCCTCCTGCAAGATTTAGACTGTCTTTTGTGACACGATGGGCACTGGAGTGCTGCTCTTAAAAATTGGGGCTCCAGTGGGGCAAACTGAGGAAAGAAGCTACAGTGGAGTCCTTGCCTTGAATAATTTCAGAGCAGGATGTCTTAAAAGTTTCCACAAACAAAATTAGCAAGATAATAACCAAACAGAACAATATTATTCAGCAGAATAGATAACATTATGGTTAAGTTAGCCGTTGGAATGTTGTCCCAGTCAGAGGTTCCCTGAGGGTTTGAAGGGGATCTCTGGTAATGTAAAATGTCATCATGATGGGAAAAGAGTGTGGCTTGCTATCTCTCGCTGTTCAGAAATAGGCATGTCCTGCACATGGAAATAGCCAGAATGTTATGGCTAAGCATGCAAAGAGGAAACATACATCTTGTGACTTCTAACTGCTGCAATCTTACATGCAGCAGTACTGTAATATTTATACCAGGTTTTAAAATACTCTGTTTGCATGATCTGTCCAGCTGTAAGAACCTTATTGATCTACGGAAGCACTTGGATACACATAGTAAAGAGCCAGCCTACCGCTGTGAATTTGAAGCCTGCAACTTCAGCGCCCGATCCCTCTGCTCCATCAAATTGCACTACAAGAAGGTTCACGAGGTGAGAAGGAAGCAGGCAGGAGTCACAGAGCCTAGGGCAGTTTCTGATTTTAAGGAAAAAGAAGCAGGACGAATACCAGAAGCTTTCCAGAATGAGTCTGAGATGTGGCTTTGGCTAGGAAATTACAAGCTGAAGCAGCAATTGTTTAGTTTCCCAGGGAAAGAGGGAAACAAGCAAAGCTACATCTGCTAATTTGTCTGTATCACCTCTATACAAATATCTCTGTCAAAGAGTTCCCAAGATTTTGCCACTTTTCTTCTGGAAATTCAGCCGAGTTCCTCCAGCACTCAAGATGATGATGATGATATTATTATCATCATCATCATCAACATACTTACAAATCCGATTTATTGTTGCAGAATGTACAGACTTGCTTTACAAACAGAACAGCAAAAACTGGGTACCTCAAGTTGTAGAGTTTCACACTTAGGGAGAGAAAATTCCCAGCTAACCATTTCGGTACATCTTTGCTTCCTCTCTTTGTACCCCCTCAGGGCGATTCAGAGCCCCGCTATAAATGCCACGTCTGTGACAAATGTTTCACACGGGGGAACAACCTTACTGTCCACCTCAGGAAGAAGCACCAATTCAAATGGCCTTCAGGCCATCCTCGTTTCAGGTACGCAAACATGGGGCTGGGCTGAAATACTCTTTGTGGTTTTGTGGCCCCATTGACAAGCCATGAAATCAAGGTCACATTGCAGAGGAATATCCAGTTTACAGGGAGAAACTGACGTTTCTGGTAGTTGCAAGCTGCTGGCAGAGGACTCCTTTGCCCAAAGGCCTGGTGCAGATCAGTTTCGCTTTGCTCAGAAATCCACCCTTCAGCCCCTATCCTCAAAACGCAAAGGAGAGGAGGAGGTTTTATAGCCTTCTCACCACATTCCTCCAAAAGGTTAGGCTAAGCTTCTGGCCAGCTGGAAGTTTAGCCCAAGCCAGACTGGTCTGCTAACCTGTATCAGAAAAAGCCAGGAGGTGTTTGCCAGCAAACAGTCCGTTGCTCTGGATGTACCTAAAGCAAATTGTGCTGTCATCAAATCAGCAGCAGAGTTACAAATGAAAACGGTTGTGGTTGATTTCATCCAGGCGGATGGGTTTGTATCTTATTATCTCTTAGACTGAACTAAGAAAAGGTGGGTTGTCTCTGAGCCAAAGGTACCAGAAGGGAAGCTGGAGTGATTTGTGATGCATTCCCAGTGAGGCGGGCTTGAAAGAGTTTGTGGCCTCTTTCAAGTTGCATTGGAGAAGAAGGATCTAGAAATGTAACCTGCAGCAGGTGGAAGAAGGGTGTATAAGAAGATGGCTGGCACCCTTTCTGTGATCCTCTAGAACCATTAGATGGGGCTGCTGGTATTAATGGCCTTACCGTGCCAAAACCACCTTCTTTTCTTTTTCACCAAGGTGGATCCCTTTCATGATTTTATATAAACGCCAGGCAAGGTGGAGAAAAATGTAGAGCCTGTAAGGTTCTTTCTCACCTTATTCTGGACAAAGAATAATCATGTATTTGCCCAAGAAGTGGCACGACACCCCTTTCTAGCAGTTTTGAGTGTGTGTGCGTTCATCAGCTTTTCATTATATATCATGCCTGGACACCCCCAACTAGCCACCAGGCTGGCATGGTTCCCTGCCAACCACAGCCTCTATAACCCCACCTAGGTACAAGGAACATGAGGATGGGTACATGCGCCTTCAGCTTGTGCGGTATGAAAGCGTGGAACTGACTGAGCAGCTGCTGAAGGATCGGGAGAAGCAAGGAGAGTCGCTGGACGATGCAGCCCAGTGCGTAGTGCTGGCAGGGTCGGAAGGTGGCTTGCAGGGCATCATCCTGGAGTCGCCAGCGGAGGAGGCAGCTGAGACAACCTTGCCAGCAGCTCTGCCAACCCAGAGCCCTGCTCCACCATGTGCCAATGAGTCCCCAGACTGTGAGCCAAGTGCACCTTCCAGCCCAATCATCCGTGTGGTGAACAGGACCAATGAGCATGGAGAGAGTGAGACTGTGTACTATGTGATGGCTAATGCCCCCTCCGAGAGCCGGGCAGTTGTGCCCAGTGGGTTTGTTCCAGAGTCAGAGGAGAATGTCATGGACAGGCTGCAGAAGACCGCTGAGGAACTGGGCATTCAGATTCTATGAGGCTCCTTATCCTGCGTAGCACTCCAGGATCTTTCCCCACCCTGGTGGACATTCCGAATTTGCCAATGCTTTGCTTTGGCTCCTGGTCAAAATGTACATTCTTGAATGAACATTTTGAGGACTGGATGCTGTGAGGTGAGAGGAGGGGGAAAGGTTCCCCCCCACAAAGCCCTTTGTAGGCTCCTTCCACCCTGGGATCTGATTGTGCACCTCCTGGTGAGGGGTAATCTGGTAAGAGAAAGAGGGAAGCATGCTTTAAGCAGTTACTCTGGAAGGTGACGGTGACTTAAGGTGAAAACAGTTCTTGGGTCAGACATATGCTTCCTGTGGAGTTCCTCCTGACCATGCAATGTACCTGGCCTTATTCAAAGTGCTGGTCATTCCACTTCATACCTTGGAAGACCCATTCTTTTATCTCCATCCTGGTCAGCCCACCCTTGCTCTGAGCCTCAAGTACAGACTCCTAACCTATCAATTTCTTTGCAGTCGGTTTGCCATCACCATGTCCTTTCTAGCAACTCAAGTGCCATTCACAAGTGATGCCCCCCTCCAGTTTCACCAGAGCATTCCAGGGTGACTCAGGGCTCTCCTCGGCCACTGCGCCCTATTCCCAGAGGGTGACAAGCCCATTGTTCCAACTGTTGCTCTATAATCCACTGCTGCTTGACTTCTTTGCAAAGATCTTCCTTGTTATCTTTGAGGCAGGAAAGCCACGTGGGGAATGAAACGCTGTGGTTTTCTTCCCATAATTGTCTGAGCAAGACAAGAAGGAATTTGTTGTAATGACTCCCACGCCATGAAGAAGGAGAGAGCAAAAAAAGGGGAGCTATTTCTTGCCAAGGGGTGTCTCCCATATTGGGGTTCCAGCTCCTGGCTTGCAAGGTTTACGTTATATTGACATTAAGAATTAAAGCCACACAAACAAAACCGAGTCTTGTGTCAGATGTGGAATTCCTTGTAATCTGTCCTCAAGTTTCACCTGATCAGGTCAGACTTAGACACGTGATTGGTGGGAAGCAGCATCCAAATAAAATTTCTTCTTGGGAAAACTCTTGAGGTTGGTTTGGAGCCTGTGAAGCGTGAGTGCATTGGAGCTGGCAAAGAGGTTAGTCTCCAGTTAGGCTGGCCAGTCAGAAATGGATGGAAAACAAAGATGGATGTCTCAACTCTGTTGAACTTGAGTTTATCATGTAGAGGTAATTGCTTTATAAGCTCCTGTTGTGGTGCACCCATTCAGGAGGCCCCAAACATTTGATCACTAGCTTTCTTTCCCTCTCGTTGCTGGGTATTTCTCACGATTTCTGAGCCCCTGGCCTCCCAGCCAATACACAGAGATAAGATGCCCTTCATGTCTCCGTAACAGCCTTAAAGATCACCACCACGCCTGGCAGCTGCACTGATTGTGAACCCCCCACATTTCTCTCTTGCTGGTGATGCGTCATGATCTAGATTCTCTTGAGATGGGTTACGCCAAACTCGGGCTGAATGTACCTGTTGCCTGAAAAATGGGTATTGTATGTAGCCAAAGCCTGTTGCAAAACCCACAGCTGTTTGGACTCGCAGGGTACAAAGGCAGTGTCTCTGTCTCCAAGATCTGGGAGGTGCCGACCTAACTGGTCTTGACTGTTGAGATCTTTTGTTCGGGATACGTGATCCTTGATGTCAGCCCTTCGAGGCAGACGTTGTGATTTCAGGAATGCTGCTTGATTGTTGCAAGGCATAGGAGCAGAATCTCAAAAGCCCATCACTGCCCCCTTTTTAAAGACAACAAAGGTTCTGCGTCTCTTTCTCACCCTTTCTCCTTTCCCAGGGCTGAGCAACAGTTTTCCCTCCCCTTATTTATCTAGCCCAGAGCTACAATCCTTTTGGACCAGCTTCATTCAATCTTTGCAGACACCCTGCCCCCCATTCTCCAAGGTCTAGCTAGCTTAATGGGGGCACGCACAACCTTTGTGATGAAGAACAGTCTGCTATTCCAGAGCATGGCCTGGGTTTGCAGTTCCAACTCCTGGATAGGTAAAGCAGATCAGATTAGCCCAACCTGTTCAATGTGTTAAGCCATCATGGCGCTGATTGGGTTGGGGCTTGGAGTATGGTATGAACCCAGCCAATGTGGTTTGTAATGCACGGCTTATGGCGTTGCTTCCGTGAACCTAATCCATTCTGGAGTATTCAGCCAGCCAGAGCTGAACCAGAGCGTAGCACTGTGCGTTCACTCAGCCATTGTCGTTGCTTGCTGAAATGACCAGGTTCCACCATATACCTGGAGACCCTTGAGAGTTTTAAAATGGATCACAGTGAATCCCTTTCAGCCAATAAGTGGTTTTCTGACCTAGGAAATGCTACTTCCTGCCACAAGGGGACACACCGATGCTATGCACCAGAATGCAAATGCCTTGGCAAGGATACTGAAATGGCCGGCCTTTGTGGCCTCTGTCCTGCACGCTTCCCCTCGCTCCACATCCCTTTCTCGCCTGAGATCTGCCAGGGACGTCCCCCGCTTGCTTGCTTTCAGCACTGGACCCTGTCCATCAGAAACTGTGTTCCACAGGTAGAAGGCTGAAAAAGGTCCTCGTAACCAGCGGAGGGAGCAGCTTTTTCCCAACTCGCAAGAATCACCACTGCCAGTCAGAGTAATCAGTCCCACCTTGACACGGTGCCCACAGGTGGTCCAAAGAGTCAACATGGTGGCCACAGCAGCACGATTAAAACTCTCTTTTCTGTGCGCACTGACAGCTTCAATCCTGCCGTTCAATCGCGGCCACAGTCTCGACTTCTTTTCACCCCAGCCTGCAAATGCCCGCGCAGTCTGGGCAGAAAAGTGGTTTTATGGCTGAGCAGGACATAGCTGTTGCATGCTTCTATCAGGGCTCATAAACCCTTTTGGGGTGATGGGAGCAGTTGGAATTTGGAGCCCTTGGGTGTTCTCCTGCTATGGGGGGACTGGCATGATTAGGGAATAGCTCCCATTGTGGGCGTGGCCTGTCTCACAATCCCAGTTTACCGCAAAGCAAACAGATGAGGTCATTTCCCCGACCCTCTGTAGCATACTCCCCTCCCTCCGCCACCCGGGTGCCTTCCATCCTTCTTGCTGGCCTTTCTCCTTTTATTCCGGCCTCCCTGCGCTCCTTGCTCCAGAGGAGCAGCCGGATCAGGATGACGCGGATGCCGTTCTCACTGGATTGAGCAGCTCTTTCTTGAGACGCGGTAGAGCGTTTTGCACAGGCCCTTTAAAGGCATCTTTTTTGACCTCGCACACTTGGAAGTCTTGGGACTGACACTCCCTGACTCCTCAGCCAGCGTCTCCCTAGGCGAGGCAGTCAGGCAGGTGGAGATGCTGCCAGAATCTTTGGAGAAGGCCCTTCTGCCCCGAAAGAAACTATCAAAGCAAGAGAGCAGGATGGGGAACCCCTTTTCTGCTGGCACCCGCTTCTGTCTGGGGCGGTCTGGGGTCATGTGCTACTGCACAGGGCAGGGGCACGGTCCCGGTGAATGGAGGCCTCGCTTCTCAGAAATCTGCCCAATCACTCAGACCCAGCCAGGTTAACAGTGCAACATAATTATAGGTTGCCAGAATAGGGCTGGAGATAAATATTTGCACACTCTACGGGCCTAATAAGACAATCACGGCTCCGCCAAAGGGATGACTGTATCTGTGTCTGGATAGAGGGAGGAGGAGAAGGTAAGGATGGCTTCTTGCACTGGGCTTTGGAGACTCACCCCTGGCCACCTCCAAGAACCCCCAACGGCCCTTGAGCTGGTGGCCCAAGCCCTCCGCCAAATGCCGTGAGCAGAGGGGAGACGAAGGCACCGGACTTCTGCAGCACGAGGGACTTGCTGCTTTTCCTCGGTGGGTTGGTGGGTTCCCTTTCCTTT